CTGAAATGAGAAAAAATTAATTTTTACATAAAAAAAATTGTAATTATCAGTTTTCTATAGATTATATTCTAGACAATCGAGTGGACTATAGACTAGACTAAGACTAGACTATAGACTAGGACTATAGGACTAGACTATAGACTAGACTATAGACAGACTTATAGACAGACTATAGACCTAGACTATAGACTAGACTATAGACTAGACTATAGACTAGACTATAGACTAGACTATAGACTATTTGACTATAGACTAGACTATAGACCTAGACTATAGACTAGACTATAGACTAGACTATAGACTAGACTATAGACTAGACTAGACTAGACTATAGACTAGACTATAGACTAGACTATAGACTAGACTATAGACTAGACTATAGACTAGACTATAGACTAGACTATAGACTAGACTATAGACTAGACTATAGACTAGACTATAGACTAGACTATAGACTAGACTATAGACTAGACTATAGACTAGACTATAGACTAGACTATAGACTAGACTATAGACTAGACTATAGACTAGACTATACTAGACTATAGACTAGACTATAGACTAGACTATAGACTAGACTATAGACTAGACTATAGACTAGACTATAGACTACTAGACTAGACTATAGACTAGACTATAGACTAGACTATAGACTAGACTATAGACTAGACTATAGACTAGACTATAGACTAGACTATAGACTAGACTATAGACTATAGACTAGACTATAGACTAGACTATAGACTAGACTATAGACTAGACTATAGACTAGACTATAGACTAGACTATAGACTAGACTATAGACTAGACTATAGACTAGACTATAGACTAACTATAGACTAGACTATAGACTAGACTATAGACTAGACTATAGACTAGACTATAGACTAGACTATAGACTAGACTATAGACTAGACTATAGACTAGACTATAGACTAGACTATAGACTAGACTATAGACTAGACTATAGACTACTATAGACTAGACTATAGACTAGACTATAGACTAGACTATAGACTAGACTATACTAGACTATAGACTAGACTATAGACTAGACTATAGACTAGACTATAGACTAGACTATAGACTAGACTATAAGACTAGACTATAGACTAGACTATAGACTAGACTAGAGACTAGACTATAGACTAGACTATAGACTAGACTATAGACTAGACTAGACTAGACTATAGACTAGACTATAGACTAGACTATAGACTAGACTATAGACTAGACTATAGACTAGACTATAGACTAGACTATAGACTAGACTATAGACTGGACTATAGACTGACTATAGACTAGACTATAGACTAGACTATAGACTAGACTATAGACTAGACTATAGACTAGACTATAGACTAGACTATAGACTAGACTATAGACTAGACTATACTAGACTAGACTAGAGTATAGATTAGAGTATAGATTAGACTATAGACTAGACTATAAAGTAGACTACAGACTAGACTATAGACTAGACTACAGACTAGACTATAGACTAGACTATAGACTAGATTATAGACTAGACTATAGACTAGACTATAGACTAGACTATAGACTAGATTATAGACTAGACTATAGACTAGACTATAGACTAGACTATAGACTAGATTATAGACTAGACTATAGAATAGACTATAGACTAGTCTATAGTCTAGTCTATATAGACTAGTCTATAGTCTAGTCTATATAGACTAGTCTATAGTCTAGTCTATAGACTAGACAATTGAACAGTGAAAAGTTTAATCTATATGAAAAATTTCCTAAATGTGAATTTTTATATTTATGAACATCTTATGGTATAAATGAACAGGGTTTGGGAGAAAGACATGTTCGATTCATAGTATTTATTAAAAATTCATTGCAGTTATGAATGATTTTTTCTGTGTAGTTAAATCCTTAATAATTAATTCACTAAAAATAAAATTAGGTCTTTATTACCAGTATTATAATCAGAGCTAATAAAATATTTATTATATTTATTTTAATTAATTGAAAAAAATTAAATAATTAACTCTTTTTAAGATTAAAAACAAACGCAATTTCTTTAGTTTACATTAAACTATTTGTCATTGAGAATTATTGTATGCATAATCAAGATAATTATTTAGATTTTCAGTAAACGTTCGTTTTGTGTTAATTAAATGCAAAACTCAATAAATATTAGTTGACACTTGTTGCGTATTGATTGGAAAATTACTTAATATTACAACTTTTAACTTAAATACAATAAATAAACAACGAATATTGTGTTACCCTATTTTAAAAAATTTTAATGTAATTGAAATTATAAACAGAAAAGTTTGTAAATATTTTTAAATATTAGTTTAAAATTTTATTTACTTGACATTTATTAAGTCGAAAATAATTTTCAAGTGACAGTTAAAAGTCATTGTCATTAAAAATACAAACAATAAACATTCTTGAAATTATTCTACAACCATATGAATGTACGTCTATACGGTAAGCTATTAAACAATAATAATAATAATACGAATAATAATCATAATAACAAAAATAAGAATCTGTAAATCCCAGTTGTTATACTTCTGAACTTGTTTAAGAAATTCTTATCAAATGCAAATGTCATTCGCTTATTATCTACTACAAATATGTATACAAACAATTATAATATTTTTTTTATTAGATTAAGTATTTAAACAACGACAAGTAGAAAAATATGATAGACTATTTGATGCCCTACAACTGCTTTAACCTTTAAAAGTAATTCAGAAACATTTGGGACCGATTCTTTCGAAATATATTACACCGATTTATTTGCTAATCGTATTTTAATAATTTCTAAAAATAAATAATAAAAACAGATTCTTTTAAAAATTCAGTGTGTTGAAAATTGAGAAATAAATAGTTTGAACATTTCTCTTGCAGTTACCCCACTGTGCCCTATACACATTATGAAAGTTTTTAATTTGCAAGCTTTTTTCCGCTTGTTTACTAATTACTGTAAGCATTTATTTTTTTAATATTTATTGCATAAGGATTATTTGTTTATTACAGACAACAACCAATTATATCGTCTCTTTTATTCTATTTATTTATTTATACCACATACAGTGCTTTCTTTTGTTGCCATTTTTATTTGCCTGCATCCAATTGTTGTGAAGATAATTTAATTATTTTTTCTCTTTACGATGACGTTTGTCAAATGGCAAAGAAGTTTAGATACAAAGTAAATAAGTGTGTTTAAACAATTGTGTGTAAATTTTTTAGTTCATAATTAGAAACGTTACGGAAATTATTAAACTATCAGCGATATTAAATTATAATTATAATTTAGTGATCACTTTGATACGAAAATTTTATGATATATTGAACATTTATTTTGCCAAAGTTAACATTAGTTGTGTTTTGTTGCCTAACGTTCAAAGGCAATTTCATAAATTTAAAAATTTATAAACGTTAGGAGTTAACGTGTAAAATTATACAAGTTATTTTAACGTTGATAAAAGTGCTACCAATTCAAAATAAAAAATACAAATATTAATGTGTTTATGTCAAACAATAAAAAAATATTTTAAAATAAAATTTAAATCAAAGAAAATTACCAAATAAAAAAAACCTTTTCAAGAAATTGTAAATAATTTCAAGATTAGCAGATTTCTTCTGTGGAGTGATGCCAAGTCAGGTAATGTTCGTTTTGTTGCTAACTTTAAGCGTTAACACTCATTGATAGCAACAAAACACAACTATTATTAATTTACATTAAATATTATTATGTATATTAATTAATATAAAACCTTTAAATTTTAGTTCAGTTCTAGTTTAGTTCTGTTCAGTGTTTAGTTCATTCTAGTTCAGTTCTAGTTCAGTTCTAGTTCAGTTTCTAGTTCAGTTCTAGTTCAGTTCTAGTTCAGTTCTAGTTCAGTTCAGTTCAGTTCTAGTTCAGTTCTAGGTTCAGTTCTAGTTCTAGTTCAGTTCTAGTTCTAGTTCAGTTCGAGTTTCAGTTCTAGTTTCATTCTAGTTCAGTTCTAGTTCAGTTCTAGTTCATTTCTAGTTCAGTTCTAGTTCTAGTTTCTGTTCTAGTTCAGTTCTAGTTCAGTTCTAGTTTCAGTTCTAGTTCAGTTCTAGTTCAGTTCTAGTTCAGTTCTAGTTCAGTTCTAGTTCCATTTCTAGTTCAGTTCTAGTTTCTAGTTCAGTTCTAGTTCAGTTCTAGTTCAGTTCTAGTTCAGTTCTAGTTCAGTTCTAGTTCACGTTCTAGTTCAGTTCTAGTTCAGTTCTAGTTCAGTTCTAGTTCAGTTCTAGTTCAGTTCTAGGTTCAGTTCTAGTTCAGTTCTAGTTCTAGTTCTAGTTCGTCAGTTCTAGTCAGTTCTAGTTCAGTTCTAGTTCAGTCTAGTTCAGTTCTAGTTCAGTTCTAGTTCAGTTCTAGTTCAGTTAGTTCTAGTTCAGATCTAGTTCAGATCTAGTTCTAGCTCAGTTCTAGTTCAGATCTAGTTCAGTTCTAGTTCTGTTCTAGTTCAGATCTAGTTCTAGTTTACTTCTAGTTTAGTTCTAGTTCAGTTCTAGTTCTTAATAAAATTTCAAATCATAAGATGTAGTGTAGAAAATAGTTGTCCGAAGTTGGATTTTAATTGTTTTTGTTTTTAAATAAATTTGTAAATAATTGTATTCATATAATGTAGATATTTTTAAACGTAATTTTTCTAATACGAAATTGTTAATAGTTTTGTTTACATAGAAATAAATATGCAATATAATAATAAAAATAAATAATGTATTTGCAGTTAAGTGTGTGAGTGTCGATCTAGTCTATAAATCTAAATGTCGGTAATGCAGTTAACAGTGACAAATCACATATTAAATGATATATACGATCAAAGATAAACTGACAGACCGATAAAAAAATACACATAAAAAAATATAAAAAAAAAATTTATATAAATGCATTAATGCATTTTTATGTTGCAAAATGTGTATTTAAAAATTGTGAAAAATTCTCTTCATTTAATGGTTTAATATTACATATTTTAAAGAAACTA